GGGAATAAAACTAAAATACATATATGATCATGCGGGGGATGTGCCCCGGCGAGTGAGCCTTGTTTCCCAGGCGATGAGCGGGTCCTCTGCTCCTCCGGTCAGCCCAACCTGTACGAAGTACTGGTAGAGCTCTACACAGCCTACACGTAATTTGAGCATTTAGCTCAGTTCTTAAATAGATATTCTGATATTTTGCGTAGTTAAAAAATGACTCCACTTTCATGTTTGAGTTGTCATCAATAGCAAAGTTGGACGAGATTTCACAGATAAAAGACCAAATTTGAACACTTCACGATTTTACGTGTCATCCTTACGCAGGGGCCATGCTAATCTTCTCTGTATCGTTCCTATTTTAGTATATGTACCGCCGAACAAGCGTATATGTAAGACCAGATTTCAATGCTCTAAGCCAATGTCTTACTGAGCTAAATGATATGGAATCGTTTTTACATCACACATCTCTTCATGTATCTCTACGTTTGGAAGATTTTTCTTTAAAGACAATAAATAAATAATCCATTATATAATTTCTACCTCGTACATTTTGAACTTTTGTTTTATAGCAGCTGAAATTGAAAGAGAGATGAAATATAGCCCATTTTGTATATATATATATATAGATTGATGATATTGCAGACATGGAAATATAAATCAATATCTATGTCAGAGAGAAATTCCTTATTGAACCAACCTCGTAGGAACAGTTTGACATTACATCTACATGATGTCACATTAGGTTAGAGAAAGAGAATATGGTTTTACGGGCTACTAACCAAAGTGTATTGGAGCCCATATTAAGTTGACGTACTCACTGGTTGGGGGTTGTAATTGGGTAGGAATCGGGTGACATTGAAGAATTCTTCCAAACGGCTTCAACGCAATGTCAAACCTGTATTATGACACTTAAAACCAGATAACCATTTTCCTTCTGACCTTTGATCAACTTTCTTTTGCGTGGGGGGTATTACTTAACGATCTCTGGACCGAGAGGACATGCAAAGGACTTATGACATCACAGAAACATCCAATAGGTTGTTTTGTGGAAGAGCAAATTTCTCGATTTAAACATGTAATTATTCCATAAATCATTTTATTCGCGATCGTACGTTGTGGCCCACTGTATTACATCCCAAACACGATGTGGCGCCAGCATCTCTATCTTGAGCTATGTAATCATTACCAGACCGCTCTGCTGTTGTATTTGACCGATTTTGCTCATAGAGAGTGGATTTAAAAGGTATCCAGGGGAAAATTCTGTTTTAAGGAAACTATAAATATAAGATTCTAGTATATTATATTCACATAGTTTCCTTAAAACCTGGATACCCTTATAAATCGACACTCTATGAGCAAAATCAATCCAATACAACAGTAGAGCGGTCTGAATATTACACTGACGAACTACTGGGATAGTTCACCGTTGATGAGCCATGTCCTCCTATTTCAGTATTAATAAAAAAAGGCATATCCTGAAGAAATAGTTTTTAAAATTATATAAATGAAACAACAAAGCTACGTTAAAATGCATCAAATTTTAGTATTAGATGGAGCTAAGGTGTGATGATATTTGCTAACGAAAATATTTAGCATTAATTCGTCGATGAAGAGAAACCTGATAATTTGCCAGATGTTGTTAGGATGTAAATAAGCTATGTAAACTACAGCGCCTATGTAAATATGTAGAAGTGTATTCTAGCATGTTCTCCGCGTGGGAACAACTCAGAAGTGACAAGAAGGAGTTATCTATGTGAGTAGATAGAGTGTGTGTCCGGGCGATAGGTAGACAGCCTGGGTGTGTTTTGGCAGTTTGCTCAGATGGGATTAGGATGTAAAGAAGCTATGTAAACTACAGCGCCTATGTAAATATGTAGAATTTTGTTCCAGCATGTTCCACGCGTGGGAATAACTCGGAAGAGACAAGATAGAAGGAGTTATCTAAGTGAATAGATAGCTTGGGTATGTTTTGCCAGTTTGTCCAGATGTTGTTAGGATGTAAATTAGTTATGTAAACTACAGCTCCTATGTAAATATGTAAAAGTGTGTTCTAGCATGTTCCCCGCGTGGGAACAACTCAGAAGAGACAAGAAGGAAGGAGTTATCTAAGTGGGTAGATAGAGTGTAGATAGATAGCCTGGGTGTGTTTTGCCAGTTTGTCCAGATGTTGTTAGGATGTAAATTAGTTATGTAAACTACAGCGCCTATGTAAATATGTAGAAGTGTATTTTAACATGTTTTCGGCGTGGAAACAATATAAGTGGGTAAATAGAGTGTGATAGATAAGCAGTCTAAATATAGCACCCGGATATATCTATCAATTATAGAGAAGGGAGTACCAACTAGACACTTACTACTCTATTACACAACGCTTTATTAAAATTATTATTTAACGACATTCTTTTGAAATATTTTATATAATAACTAGCGAATGTGACCTGTCATCATCCGTGTTCTCCCCGAGTGAATGTTTGCCTAACGAATATTGTTTTAATATATGTCCTTTGTAAAACGACATTTGAAATACTATCCCGCATGTGTTTCTTTTCAACGAAAATTCAAAATTTATTTTAAGGATATATAACGATTATTTCTAACCCTAGGGATGAAGTATGAAATACTGTGGGTTCGATTCCCATCCCTGGACACTTTATTTTTCCGTTTATCATTACTCTTCACAATTCACCCTTTCATATCTCATCCAAAAGGTTATAAATAATCGTTATTTCTCCTTGAAATAAATTTTGAATTTTCGTTGAAAAGAAACACATGCGGGATAGTATTTCAAATGTCGTTTTACAATCATAAGCCGCATTATATTATATACTAGCCGAATGACCCGGGCAACGCCCGGGTTTTACCCGATTAAATGTTTTTATTCAAATACTATTCGTTACAATTATAAATTGGCACCGTGGATGTCACTTTTGTGAAACGTCCCGCTCCAAACTTTGTGTGTTTTTAAAATATAAAAATAAATATGTAAATTTTTCACAACGATATTTGAAAATTATATTATTTTTATTTTCAAATACTATTCGTTACAATTATAAATTGGCGCCGTGGATGTCACTCTTGTGAAACGTCCCGCTCCAAACTTTGTGTCTGAGAAGCGATATTTTAAAGAAAGATGATCCGGATTTTGTTTTCTGCTCGAATGAATGTTTTTCTGTTAGAATTTTGTTCCTGCGTACAAAATAATGAACTGGTTTCACCCGTGGTCTCTGCTTTTTGGAATTTTTCCCGATATAATTTTGTATCTGATAATCAAACATGATACAGCAATATCGTCATCATCATTTTCTGACTAAAAATATATAGTTTTAATAATTGATTTATATATTTTTTAAAATAGCCTATCGTCTTCCCCGTATTTTTTTACCTATGTATGGAAATTTTGGTTTAAATTAGTGAACTACTGCGAATTTGTATACCGGACATACAAACAAACATACAGACATTCGTTTATATATATATATGTTCTTTAGTATGATTATATTATTTTTGGAAAAAATATAGTCACATCAACCAATAATTTATTTAATTATCAACCTATCAGTGACCACTGTCACTCTTCTCAGGGGAATCCAGAATAACAGTGAGTCACTGAAACGACGGAAGTTATAAAGCTATTGGTTGACAATTAAAATAATTTTATTGACATCTTTTCAATACATGCAAAGTGCACAGTCTGCACTATTTGAAAAAATATATAATTATATATATGCATCATACTATGTACAAAGAACATCGCGTCTCTGCCAGCGCTGCAGAGTTTGGTGGAGAATCACCAGCGGGTCTCCAGTGGCACCACGTATTTCGCGACCTACGAAGAATACTTAGATCGCGTACTTCGCCGCTGAGGAGATGGCGTGGTCCTCGAATCAACTGAAAATATCCAGGACTACAGGTCCGGCGGCCAGGCGATAATTATTACTTGATGTGGCTATATTTTCTCCAAACCAAATTCTATCCAACAAATGATATTTGAAACTATATTGTTATATCCTCGATAGCATGTAGGATTAAGGAGAAGCAAGCAGATGACACAAGATGATAGTTCTTTATTTGGTCTCACTTATATACATATGTATGATGATGATAAATAACTACATAAGTCAATGAAAACAATACTCTGTTGTCAATACACAATATAAATTATTTCTATTAATTTTATTCAAAATAATAGTAGCGATTATAGGAATTAATATATTAATATTATTATTATATATATGAATACCTTATAAAAAAACTATACGGGAGGATGTTATTGATATACAAAAAGGCACATCTTCCTTTTAATAAATGCGTTAAAAATAATACATTTATTAGATCCATCAAAACAATGGATTGTGAACATTGCTGCTGTTGTGATAGAGATGCATGGAGACATCTGAGGCTCTCCATTGGACACGACAACAACAACAACAACAACAACAACATCAAAACAATGCATTTTTAAAATTACATCTTCGTTCAGAGATCACAGATTATAATGAAAAGAATAAGCAATAGCACCAGTTTTGGAAAGTTCATACAAAAGCGAACAGCTATACCATGGTATCGGGTTATGGTCCTGATCAGTACAGGGACGGCTTCGATAACATTCTACGAGAGGAATTGTGGAATAAGTCGAATCTGATAAAAATATGTACGAGCTGGTGAAGTGGAAGGGCAACTTGGTAACTTGATATAACCGGATTTGAACCAGCGACTTAAGGATCACCATTGAAACATCCACAGTTATCCGTTCTGCCAACTGAGCTATCGAGGGATACCTTGATCAAAAGGTACCTTGATAGAACAAGATTTGAACCAGCGACCTAAGGATCACTGTTGAAACATCTACAGTTCTCCGTTCTGCCAACTGAGCTATCGAGGGCTACCTTGATCAAAAGGTACCTTGATAGAACAAGATTTGAACCAACGACCTAAAGGATCACTGTTGAAACATCTACAGTTCTCCGTTCTGTCAATTGAGCTATCAAAGGTTACCTTGATCAAAAGGTACCTTGATAGAACAAGATTTGAACCAGCGACCTAAGGATCACTGTTGAAACATCAACAGTTCTCCGTTCTGACAACTGAGCTATCGAGGGTTACCTTGATCAAAAGGTGCCTTGATAGAACAGGATTTGAACCAGCGACCTAAGGATCACCGTTGAAACATCTACAGTTCTCCGTTCTGCCAACTGAGCTATATAAGGTTACCTTGATCAAAAGGTAACTTGATAGAACAGTTAGAAGTTTAAAAAGAAAAAAAATGTTAAGACGGAATAATAAATCTTAAATAAATGATGCTAAAGGTTTCATGAGATGAGTTTCTTTTATCTTTATGATGAACGCAATTGAACTATTTAATTTTAAAGATTCAAAATACTCATTTGATAGTTATATTGAACGACTGGACTACCTTTTTCAAAGTAAATCCTATTCTAGAAGAAGGAAAAAGAAAATCGATATATCTGACTGTTTGCAGTGCCTCTTCTAAATGCATCATGCCATCGAGGATATATCACTAACGTAATCTAGAGCGGCCCTACTACAGGAGTACATAAAACATATAAACGCTGTTAAGATGCGATCTAATAACAAGTCTTACATGCAACAAATTAAACATTCAAATGCCATTTACCGAATAAATTTAGTGAATATTTTGACACTATTGTTTTATTTTTCAAATATATTGTAACATAGTATTTATTAATCTTATAATTTTTATTAACAGAGTGGTCGTTTTTATGTTCATATTTTGCTACTCTGTAAATTTCCCTCGTGGCTTATCTTTTGTTTACCAGTTTGTTTATATACTCGTAGTTTGTCCTTGCTTGAAATAAATTGTTGTCTCCTCGTGAAGTTTTTGTCTTCCCTAATTTCCCACGTGGCAATATAATTAAAAACTACTTCTGTTGTTGTTGTTGTCGTGTCCAATGAAGAGCCTCAAATATCTCCATGCAACTCTATTACAGCAGCAGCAATGTCCACTATCTTGGGTGTGTAAAGCTGCTGCTCTGGGTCTGTGTCAATTTTCTGCAAGACTGCGGCCATTGCTGGGCATGAGAATATGTGAATAGGTGTTAGTTCTACACCAGGACAGTTGTTGCATGCAACTATTTCTGTAATTCTTCAAATTAAAGATACTTCGTCCAGTAACCTCGACGTTTCGACAAAAATCTTTTGTCCTCGTCAAGAGCTAACAAAATTCAAAACAATAATAAGATTTACTGTCCGAAGTATCTTTAATTTGAATAACTATGAATTCCGGCCAAGCAGCCTCTATCTTTACGACACTTCTGTAATGTTTTCTTGCTGCGAAGAAAGAAAACTTTGACTTGGTGTTCCTCAGAGGCGCTCATCTAAATTTTCCATTATCTAATCACCATATGGAGATTGGGTTGACGAAACCAGGTAGAACCAACTCCCCTTTTTTATCATTGCTGTAAGATCTGTAGAAATGTATTTTGATTATTTTTATTGAATGAAACATTAATGTAGCACACAAAATGTATTAAAATTATATAATTAGTCGTATAGCTCGAAAAATATTAAGGAATATAGCACTGAAAGAATGGATTCGTTCAAAATAAGCAACAAAGCTTTAGTAACAATTTTCCAGATATTCAAATGGGAATTTGAGAAATCAGCATAGAATCTTAAAGAGTTGAAAAGAAAATGTTAAGTGTCAGTGATTGAAAAATACAATCGACTGCTAAATACACTCATGGACAAAATTTAAGTAGGTTGTACCTTTTAGCATGTATATTGGGATTCTGACAATAAATCTGAAAGATATTTGATATACAGTGATCTTTAATGAGGACATAGGAAATAGCCAAATGTGAACAAAATTGCCTCTTTCTCCTTTAAAAAAATAGACTATCGACAACATCAAATACTTCCCACTTCCTTAAGTTTTGTCCATTAGTTTAGCTTCATGTCTAGCTTCAATTTTGTAACAATAAAATAACTACAAATATCCTTTCATTAATTAATGATACCATTGATGAAACTCGGTTTCTAATAAATGTAAAAAAAATATAAATTTTATTATAAAATGAAGATAGATTAATTTTAGTGCATAATAGTAAAGGGACCGGTTTTTCATGAACCCCCACTAAATGGATTAATAAAATCTATAAATTCAGTTATATAATTATCACTTTCGGTTATGAAAATTTTAGTTTACTTCTAAAGGATTGTTGTATGAATAATTTGCTGGTAAAGAAGTTTTTTGAAGAAAGAATATATTACAACACAACAACAACAAAAAGCCTTTATTTAGGGTCACTGACCCTATACAGGATTCACCAGAGGTATGCATAAGAACAAAGCAGTGAGACAAAGGAAATAACGATATATACAGAATAAAAAGAAAAAAAAAATAAGAAAGAGAAAGAGGGAAACAAGAAAAACAACACAAAAAGAGTAGCAGTAAGAAAGTGTGGAGTGAGTGTCACTTGGCCTTCTTCTCAGATATGGACTTGTGGAAACCATAAAACGCCGTAGCAATATACTTATTCTGGGTCATATTGTCAATTATTGATGGAAGTGAAGCACAAGAAAGAATATATTAATATAAAGCAATAAACGCGCCATCTATATATAGCAAATGAAAACATTAAGACATGAATGTTTCTTTTAAACACCAATCAAACTTCTACTGTCCTTACTGCGATGTAAAATATTGTAGTCACATATCAAAACCACTTTTAATTTATCTTAAAGATAGAGGTTGTCTGGCTAGTATTCATAGTTCTTAACATTTTTAAAACGCCTTATTAAATGCTTTAATTTTTGTTTTTTTCTGACGTGGACAACAGTTTTTTTGTCGCGAAACGTCGATGAAATAAAAAATAGAAAACAAATTTTGTTTGAAGTGTCTTTAATTTTATGAACTTTAAACTTAATTACTGTTTTGACTCATTTGAAAAAAAAAAGAGCGCACCGCTACATAGAAAAACACGTCCAGGAGGCAAAAAGAAGAAAAATGCTAAACAAAAAAAAACGAAGTATTTATTAATTTTAAATCTTTCAATCAAAGTGTAAAATTTAGACGATTTCGAATACCTTTAGTAAGAACGGGAGAAATCAACTAAACATTTGAATAAATCAGTTAAATTCGGTAAAATGAAGGAAAATTCGCTGCAATATATATACACCTATCCCCCGATTTACACGATACTTTTTTTTTTACACGTTTTCGCTTTTACACGGCTTTCCAAATAAGTTTTTTTTTTGTTTTTTGTTTTTATCGCAATATACTAAATGCTACTGTGGTTGAACACATGCGCTGTGTACACATCTCACGAGGAATCCCGAGCTTATGTGCTGACTACATATTTTTTTTTTACACGTTTTCGCTTTTACACGGTTTTCCAAATAAGTTTTTTTTTGTTTTTGTTTTTATCGCACTATACTAAATGTTACTGTGATTGAACACATGCGCTGTGTACACATCTCACGAGGAATCCCGAGCTTATGTGCTGACTACATATTTTAACCTGTCAATGCATTTTATTTTTATTTCTGTGTACACCTATCCCCCGATTTACACGTTTTTTTCTCAGGAACGTATCTACCGTGTAAATCGGGGAATAGGTGTATTTAAAAAAAAAAAAACATAGTCGGTGGACGAGTAGGTAACACCCTCGATTCCCGACAGCCATGAACCGGGATTGAACCCCGTGTTAACATTTTGTTTAATATGTGAATAACCTTCACATATTATTCATTGTTGCAATTATCATAAACTAGGTTGCTCTTGTTGAGTGGTACCTAATAAAGTGATTTTGGAACAAGAACAAGCTGCAATATCGGTAAGGACTTCGGTGAGTTCTCAATATTGACATAGGCTGTAGAATGGAAGGTACAGTTAGGTAAAAAACCAACAGTAGCAGGACACTGAATACACTTTAAGTGGCACACAAATGGGAGTTATGCGGATATCAAAATAAATATAGGGTATGCCATTACAGTTAAACCTGTCTATAGCGCCCCCTCTAAATAGCGCCTTCCTCTCTATAGCGCCCGATTTTAACCCTTAAGTACTCGCGGCATTTTTTGTTACATAAGTACTCGCGCGGGGTGTATCACACCCCAAAATATAAACCTAAATCTAATATATATAATGTAAGCCAAATACAACGTATTTATATTTATATTATAGAGAAAAGAATGGATATTAATTAAAATGTAAATAAAATAATAAAATATTTAATTATTCCAGTGCTTGTACATGTTTTCTAAATCCTATAAGCATTTACAATTTTTATGCATATTCATTATTCACAAAAATAAATCTTATATTTTTTTCATTAATTTTCAAAGCATTCTGCACACATAATGAAGGAATGATTATTGCAGATATTTCTTTTGCAATTTTTGCAGGTAGTCTTTGTTTTCCTATCTTTAGATCGGTCACAAAGATGGCATCGCTTTTGCTTTTTTGAAAGTGGTTCTGATGGTCCTGGTACCTAAAAAAAACCATCATAAAATTTATCATGTTTATTTATATTGGTAAATAACATTTTTACTTACTGTTTGTTCATTTGCCACTCCAATTATCCTTCGAAGAGCAAGTTTTATATCTTTAGGTAGTGACACAATGCAAAGGCGTTCTTTGATATGTTCATCTATCAAACTCAGTCCGATCTTTTCCAAAAAGTGGCGTCTTTTAATGGGTTCTTCTTGCAGGTGATTTGCGTTGTAAAGTACTTGTGCATTTATTTCTGCAACATTGACGAGATCAAAGAAAATACACAGAGGCCATCTTCTTGTGCGTCGTCCTACACTGTAGGTCCCCGACATTTGGTCAACAACATCAACGCCTATCTTGGTTTGGTTATAAAAAGTGACTATTTCCGGCTTCATTTTATCTCCTGTGTCCTCGTCAATTGTCATTGTTGAGTGCATTGTTGACAATAGGATAACTGATTTTGATTTCTTGGGGACATATGATACAAGAGTTGTATTTTCATTGAAGCCAAAAATTGAAGAAAAGATAGGTCTATTCCTGTTGGGTAAAAACTCTACAGGAATTTCCTTTTTATTTTTTTTCAAAGTTCCAACGAGGGTCAAGTTATGTTCAGTCAACAAACTTTGAGCTAGTGGGAAACTTGTATACCAGTTATCAGTGGTAATATTTCGTTTTGTTCCTGATACTGGTTCCACCAATCTTTTGACAACATCATCAGAAGCATTGGATTTA